AAAATTAGAACTGTTTAAAATCACTTATGTTTATTTCACAGCATTCTTATGCTTGTAGAGCAAACTTAACTTCTCATACTTATCCAACTCCACAGTGCCCAATAGTACAACCTCACTGGTCCTACAGGGAACTCTCTGATACTCTTAGGGGACTTAAAAATCTTCACTCTTTGCATTTGTAGAAAAAAAGTCACAGAGTTATATAACTAGTTGACTCTTGTGTTCAAGTAAACCTACATAAGTAGAATTTTATTGAGGCTGGGAATTAAACCTCTGAAATGAATGAGCAGGCAAAGAATTGTCATGCTTGTTATTTTCTATTTTGTGCTATTGTCTTTTTTTCCTGCTTTACAAAACCTAATAAATTTTAAGGAACTTTGTACTCTTTCAATTTATCGGTAAGACTAAAATATTTTCTGTAGTTTTAACATTCTTTATAGGAAAGGTGAAAAACTGTGTAACTTGTAACAATTTAGATTGGGTTTAAAAGATAACCAAAAACTAGGTCAAAAATGGAAAACAGTGCAATCTCCTTCATATTTAAGTTTATTCTGACCTTTGGAGAAGCAAAAATGCTGTAAGACTGATTTCTTCTCTGTAGTAATACCTTTGTTATCTAGTTAATCTAAAAATAATGACTTTATTTCAAGTTCTGGAACTTTAAATAATTCAAATGTAGATTTAAAGTTTCAATTCATACTGATTCTTATGTAAGAAATGTTTCAAACGATTCTAATAAAATGACCCATAGGATTTGATTCATCATGCCTTCTGATTAAAATGTTCAAGATGTCACTTAAATATTAATTCTATGCTGTCACCAGCATGTGATAATATTTTGTTGATAATTTTGTATGTATTTATCAAAAAAGATGATGAAAATGTTCTTTCACTGCTCTTTCCGGCATGTGTGATTTAAGAAATACTTCCACAAAAGTTGAATTTGATCGTGTTGAATTATCAAGTGAAAAGGAATTTCATGGAGAGTATTTTGTTCCAAATAGAGCACACTCGTAGTGTAATTATTTATATTGCATTTTCCAGGATCCTGTAGTTGATTACTATATATTTTACTAAAAATGCTTGTGGGGGACCAAAATGCTATCAATTGATAGAAGCAGGATTTCTAGAGAAAGTTTATTTCAGTCACTGTAACAACAAAGATAAAGAAACTTGAAAAGTTTTATTGTGTATATTTGATTTTTACCACATGATGTTTTGATATACATGTATGTAATGAATTGATTGATCAAGTCAAGCAAATTAGCACTCAATCGTATCATAGAGTTACTTTTTTGTAGGTATTGGTGATGAGAATACCTAAAACCAATTCTCTGGTCATATTACTAGTATTTAGTTAAATATTTTTAATCATTAAGTTATAATTCTTGTGATGTGCTCATATTTAAAGATAAAGCAATTTAAAAAAATGCATTTTGAATTGAAGGAAAAGACAAGATTCCTTTGGTTGACAATTTTTAATTAATTCCAGAGAAAAGATAAATACCCTCACACAAATCTCTGAGCCTTTCCCTTTTATTTCATGTTCACTCATTTCTTGAATACTTCCTTTCTCCTTGACTTTTAAAAAATAATTGATAGCTTTATTTTTTTTTCTTTAAATCGATGCATTATGAGTACACACGATACTGGGATTTTACACAGACGCACATATATCTCAGTTATATTCTGCCTTTTTTCTTCCTTCCTCTTGTTTTCTTTTCACTCACCCTAAATTCTCATTCAACTTAATCTTTTGAAGCTCTCCTCTTCTTCCTTTCTTCTCTTCTTTCTTTTAAAACTTTTATAGAAACAGTCTACAGGAAAATATATTTGCCTGCAGGATGAAAATGCCAACTGTTCTCTAATCACTTAGAATGCAATCCTTCATTTTCTTCACTGTTGTTCTACTTGCTTCCTATGCACTTTAAAATATTCACTGAACTTAATTCTATCACATAACACAAACTTTTCTGACTAAATTTGCGAAAAATTTCTTTTTTGTCACACTCAATTATCTCCTTTAGTTCCTTTTCCTACTAGCTTATTTATTGTGATTTTTTTCCCTCAATTCTTCACTATTTTTTCTTGATTATCTTTCTATACTTTATGTTCAAAACTCCCAGATTTCCATTTCTCCCTTACTTCTCAGGTTAGTCTACTTAGTAACTTTTTTCTGTTCCTTTTTTTGTTTCTTCTTCAATTCAGGTTTCTGAGTTGGGAAAAGCAATGAGTTTATATTAAATGAAAATAGGCTAATTGCCAAAAATGGTAGAGATTGGAGCAATTATGTGGAAGAATGGTCAGGAACAGAAGGGCATCAGTCAGACAAACAATAGCAAAGAGCATCTCCCAACACATCTGAACATCTCACTATTACTAGTGTGGACCACAGATGTCAAAACTTACACTGACATTACCATGGCCATAGATGCAGGACGCTTTTGCTGGAGTCTTGATACCTTTGCCTTTGCAACCCATGGACCTTCTTCTCTCCATACTCCAAGTCATATGTGGATTTCACTGGGCAAACCTAGACTGAGTCACCTTTACTAGGGGATAGGGTTATGATAAAGTAGGTTTCTGGCCATTTGGGCTTCTTGCAAATTACCTCTGCCCACCAGAAAAACTCACAGAGTAGGAAAAGGGTTTGGATGTGGGCATCTAATAAGTGATATCTATCCACATTATTACCTCTTTAATATACCTTCCTCTTTATATTTTTTTCTTCCTTGCCTTTTACTTGACTACATTTTCTGATGAGTAGGTTACCTATAACTGTGACTCCAACTACCAGGCCATTACTTCAATTAGTATATAGTAAACCCAGTTCACTAAGTTAATCTCACCTGATGGTTGAGAGGATGCTTCTTCCATGAATTTGTAGATGAACTTATGTTCTTCTTCTTTTTTTTTTAATGATTGTCTACCTAGATCCCAACTCATTGCTCTCTCCTTCACTAACTATGCTTTAATACTTAAACTGTAATAGAGTCCTGGTGATTCTACATCCTGAATACTTTTGAATATTTTCTTCATTCTTCTAATTACTACATAGGTCATATCACATATAGACTAGGAAATACACTTTATGTTTGCATCATCAGAGGAGTATTTTTAAGGTATAGATTCTTAACAGATTCTTCAATCACTGACTCAGTTTCTGTAATAATGTCTCACAACCTATCTTTTGTAAAGATGCTCATGTAGTTCAATGAGATGTATTATTTTCTTTGGTTTTCCCTGGATAGTAAGTAGTAATAGCTTCCAAATTAGTGTTCCTGGATCCATGGTCTCTTTTGTATGGCTACTTTGTATACTACAAAACATTGAATTTAGAAAATATTTTATGATCTCATTCTACATCTTAAAATATCCTAGTACAAATGCATTGCCAGAAGAATAAAGCTCAAATTGCTTCAGATGACATTCAATTCATTTTATAATCCAGACCATTCATACAGATTTTTTTCTAGATTCTTAACCATGTCCAGGACAAAGAATTTCCAACCATATTCAGTACTTCCCAATTGATTTTTTAAAAACTTAGAAGGCCTTTGACATTTTCTGAAACTTTACTTCATGTACATTTATTGAAATGAACTAATTATAATTTTTTTACTATTTTTCATTCTCAAAAAATGATTTTCTTGTATGTGGAAAGGAAAAGTTACTCTTAAAAGTTTATGATTTTTCCTTTTTACGTTGGTTCTTTTTAAATATACAATAGAATATACTATGACATAATTATAAAAGCATGAGATATAATTTGTTCTAATTCAGTCCCCAGTACTTCCTCTTCCTCTCCCTTCCTTTCACACCCTCTTCCTTCCCTTTACCCTATTGATATTTTTACTATTTACTTATAGTTTTTATTTTTAATTAGTATCTTGTGGATGTCCACAATGATGCGATTCACTGTGGCATTCTCTTATATGCACACAGGAAATTTAGATTCATCCCATTGACTTTCCCTATCCTATCGTCTCTCCATTTCTTTCATTCCTCTTTGTTTACTCCTCTTATCTTACTTCTTTTATCCCCCCCCCCACACCTTATTTTGAACTAACTTCAGAGAAAACATTTAACCTTTTAATTTTGACTTATTTCACTTAGCATAATAGTCTCCAGTTATATCCATTTACCACTAAATGCCATAAAGTCATTGTTCTTTATAGCTGAGTAATACTCCATTGTGTAAATATACTACATTTTCTTTATCCATTCATCTGTTGAGGGGAACTGAACCTAAATACCATAGCTTAACTATTGTGAACTATGCTGCTATAAACATTGCTGTGGGCGAAACACTGTAGAATGCTGATTTTAAGTCCTTTGAAGGTATATTGAGTAGTGAGAGAAAGGAGTCATATTTTGGTTCCATTCCTATTCTTTTGAGGAATCTCCATACAGCTTTCCAGAGTGGTTGTTCTAATTTGCAATCCCACCAAGAATATATGAATGTACCTTTCTCCCCACATCCTCACCAACATTCATTGTTACTTGTATTCTTGATAATTACCATTCTAACTGGAATGAGATGGAATCTCAGCACAGTTTTAATTTGCATTTCTCTAATTGATAGATTATGTTGAATATTTTTTCAAGTATTTCTTGACACTTCATATTTCTTTTTTTGAGAAGGGTCTATTCAGTTCCTTTGCCCATTTATTGATTGGGTGATTTGTATTTTTGGTATTAACTTTTTTGCACTCCTTGTATATCCTGGATATTAATACCCTGAGGAACAGGAACAAAAGATTTTCTCCCTTTCCTAGGTTCTCTCTTTCAGCTGTGAGGAAACTTTTTTTGATGCATACCATTTATTAATTTTTAATTTTACCTCTTTCACTTTAGGAGTCTTGTTAAAAAAGTCAATGTCTGAGCCAATAGGGGAGTGTTGGGGCTACGAGTTCATCTAGACTCCTCTCCAGTTTTCTGATTAAAATCCTATGTGAATGTTTTTGCTTGATTTTCATCTTCATTGAATTTAATTTCAGGCAACATCCAGTGCAGACATGGAAAAAGAAAACACAACTTTGCTGACAGAGTTTGTTCTTACAGGACTTACAAACCAACCACAGTGGAAAATCATCCTGTTCCTGGTGTTCTTTGTGACATACCTCATCACCATGGTGCGGAACCTTGGTCTGATTTCTCTTATCTGGAAAGATCCTCACCTTCACATCCCCATGTACTTTCTACTTGAGCATTTAGCCTTTGTGGATGCTTGGATATCGTCAACAGTGACCCCGAAGATGCTGGTCAATTTCCTAGGAGAGAGCAACATATCTCTTGCTGAATGCATGGTACAGTTTTTTTCATTTGCAAGCAGCGCAACCACAGAGTGTTTCCTCTTGGCAGCAATGGCTTATGATCGCTATGTAGCTATATGTCAACCTCTACTGTATCCTGTGATTATGACCAATAGACTATGCATTTGGCTACTAGTTTTGTCATTTGTAGGTGGCTTTCTTCATGCACTACTTCATGAAAGCTTTTTACTCAGATTAACCTTCTGTAATTCCAACATAGTACATCACTTTTTCTGTGAGGTTATACCATTGTTAAAGATTTCTTGTACTGATCCTTCTATCAATCATCTAATGCTTTTTATTTTCTCTAGTTCAGTTCAAGTTTTCAGCATTGTGACTATTCTTATTTCTTATACACTAGTTTTCTTTACAATTTTAAAAAAGAAGTCTGAAAAGGGAATGAGAAAAGCCTTCTCCACCTGTGGAGCCCACCTCTTTTCTGTGACTTTATACTATGTCCCTCTGCTTTTTATGTATGTGCATCCTGCATCTTCACAAGCAAATGATCAAGACATGTTCTTCTCTATAGTTTACACTGTCATCATTCCTGTGTTAAATCCTGTGATATACAGCCTGAGAAACAAGCAGGTCATAGATTCAATAACAAAAATGTTGAAAACAAATGTTCCAATCTCCTGTTAATATCTGTTATCCTTTTATTAAAATAATCACAAAACAATGGAGTTAAATTGTGGATGTATTCAGGAGTGTTGAGAGATTTTTGTTATTATATTTTTCTAGAATGTTAATTAAGGTTTTGTGTCTACTTTGTTCTTTAAAATATTTTTAGATATTATTCTTAAACATGTAAAGAATTTTATCTACTCTCTAAATTACAGTTGAATAAGAAAAGCATAACACATGTGATAAAATTTATAGGCTTATATGTTGTCACATTATAAATACACTGAATATTAAAATAATGTGATTAATCTCAAGAGGACCTGAATATGACATTTTATACAAGGAGTACTGCTGTAGAGCCTGGGATTTCTCTCACGTTTATTCCACAGTGGTGACAGATTGGTATTTGAATAGTAAAAGAAAATCTCAGCCATCAAATGTACCAGTCATCAAAATGTCTTTCGTTCCAATTTTTATTTTTTATTTTTTTTTTGTAAAATGGCAACTTTTATTTTTTGGAACTTTCTTGCTGTTTTTTTTTCTTCTGGACAATTGGAAGACTCTTCCTAATTCAGAAAAGGTATTGGTTCAGGAATTAAATATGTGTGGTCATAGATAAAAAATAAAAATAGCAGCATAGGAAGGAAATGTTTTCAATCTGCCTAAAAATGTTAAAATGTGCAAAAAAGAAAATTCAATAACATTTAGATTATTTAAACATGTTGTTCACATAATAAGCTCCAAACGCATACTAGCTAATATGTGATACAGGGTAAGATGATATGGTAGGGTAGTGCCTAGGACTATCTCTAATGTAAAACTTCTGGGGTGTATTTCCAGATTACCTAAATGAGGATGTTTATTCCTTCACTGAAACATGTAGCAGTTTGTTTATCTTCTTAGGACAAAACCATCCCTGGCTAAACTTTTTGGGATCCAAAAGCTCTTTGTAGATTACAATTGAGTAGTTCTACTACTTTTTACTTTATTGCATACATAGCACAGTGGCTTACACATAAGAATCCTATATAAGTAAATTGTGATTTTTAAAAAAATCAAAAGGAATCTATAGAAAAATGTATAGAATTCAGAAATATATATCATTCTTTTCCAATCTTGAAGTGATTTCCTGGAAAGTCATGGGCTTGGAATCACTACTCTATGTCAATTCACATTTCTTTACAAATAAAGCATTGTGCACTAAAAATGAAGTTGTTTGTTTTTTTTTTATTACCAGGATTGAATCCAGGAATAGACTATGATAAAATTCTAAGAACATTTATTTAGTTATATGTTTGGTTGAAGGGACACAACCCATGGAATTGTTTAAACTAAGTTCAATTGTTCTGTATGTCTGGAATTTCATATCCCAAGATTAGAGAACATCAGTTGGGTTTTTTTGTTTCCTTAAGACATACCAGCAAATCCCAGGAAATGAGAAAAATGCATCACCTTTAAACTTTTGTTCCATTTCTTCCCAGAGAACCCCATGTCATTGTATATGTGTAGTTTTTTAAAAATTTGTTTTAAATGTTGATAGACCTTTATTTTATTCATTTATTTGTATGCAGTGCTGAGAATCGAACCCAATGCCTTTGACATGCTAGGCAAGCACTCTACCACTGTGCCACAACTCCATCCCCTAGTTTGTTTATTTTTAGTGCTGCATAATATTCTCATTGATGGTTTTCTATGAATTCCCTAGGTTTTTGCTTGTACAGGTACTGTTATACCAGAAAAACAAAACTGATAATATCATCAACTCTATTTCTTCTGCTATCAGTAAGAACTATTACTATGATTTGCTTTTCTTTTGAGAAGAAGGTAGATATTAAAGAATGAATATATGGGAAGGGTGTGTAACCTGTCAAGTCTTCTGTGTTTGGTGAGTAAGAGACAAGTGGTTAGGGACCTGTCACCAAGTCAGACTTCCTTTGCAGTATTCTCTGGTACATGTCAGGTCTCCTGATTCCTCTCTTTTTAAATTTATTCCCCCTACTTTATGCCTTCAGAAATTCACTAAAATAACTAGTCCCTGGGTGTGATCCCATTCTCAATTCTGTTGCATATTTGTTCTAATTTTTGTGCACTATTTTTTCCATTTCAGTGGAAAGCTGAGAATGAATTAAAATCCACAGTATTCCTACTCCTTGGTTTTGAGAAGAAGTTAAATATTTGGCTTTTTGCCTTAAATTATGAAAATACATGCATATAACTTAATAAATATTTAGATGTAAAGGATGATATCATTTAGCAAAATTCACCTAGTTGAGTGGAATATTGTTGATGTTGAATTAAAATTATTTTATGTATGTTCTGAAAACAAAAGTAAAAATACTTTAATGTGATGATCTATTTATTTCTTGCCTTGGATGTTTAAAATAATTTAGAACTCATCTTTCTATATAAGTACTTTTTTATCATCATACAAAATCTACTAATGTGCAGGAGACCATTGAAAAATTATGCTATAAGGTTAAAAAAAGAATATTTTTAAGAGTTAAGCAAACTCAAGTAGACATCAATCTAAATAGACTTTTCCCCCAAATCTAGATTGTGGACCAGCTATGGCAGAATTGTATTCAGAATTTTATTATATATGTGTATAGGAAAACATACAAAAATCTTGTTTATAATATTTTTAGGAGTTTGTGTGGGATCTTTTTGAAACTTTGAGTCTTAAATATATTTTGTGCAACAGAATCATGTTGAGAGTTGTGCAAACCCAGAATGATTAACTCCATCACTAAAGTGTCTTATTGAGCAATATTTATGTTGTTGAGGTGAGTCCAAACTTAGAATCCTTGTTTTCAATATGCAGATAAGAAAACTTTTCTAATATCAAAATGCATTAATCCTGTCCAAATGTACTTTCCAACACTACATATTCTGTAATACATCAGCATGGTGTAAATATTCTAAGTTTTTACTCCTTTCTTCATATTTTCTTCCATGTTTTGGATAGAGGGATGAAGGATTCAAAAGGACATGTCTTGTTTCAAGGAGGAAATATTGACAGATAATTTTATAATTTTTTTCTTTCAAATTAAGATTGACATCAATGATAGCCAATGACCACATTTCAGTAAATTAAAAAAAAGTTATCTTTATCAATTTCAAAAATACTAACTGTCATTGTTGGTCAGTGTTTGGAACTGCTTCTCAAAATTTTTATAGAATGTGTGTGTTCCAGTTGCCAAAACTAATATAGTGTTTAATAATTTTGAGAAGGTATTTAGATGTAAGAGTTATATGAGGACAATAACTAACAATTACACCACGGGTTTTCCCTCCAAAATTGAAGAGAAGAAATCAAATGCACTAAATTTAGTGAACATTGCCGTATGTATTAGAGCTGTCTAGAAAAACAGATATTATGTATATGTGTGTGTATGTATGTATGTATCTATCTATCTATCCTCTATATCTGTGTTTGTATGTAACATGTTATCTATTCAGAGGAACCATGGGAGTGGTAGAGCATGAGAGAAAATGATTTATTCTAAGGTATTGTCTAACATGATTATTAAGTTTGAAATTACAGTTTTGTGCGGTTTAGAAGCTGGGGACTCAGAAAAGCAAAAGCCTGAGAACAGTATAGATTTCAGAATAAGTATGAAGGCCTCAGAACCAGGAGGACAGAGGTAAGAGAGGAACTCAAATATACTACACATTGAGATATGTCAGACAGAGAATGAATTAAACCTTCATATGCTTGTAGACTCAATTCAGACTCTAAATAGATAGCATGATGGTTCGTACAACAGGAGGAAGGCTAGAGAATGTTTTTGGGAAACTTTGGCTTCTGGAAGCACAGTTTGAAGAGGAAAAGTCAGTTTCAGTTACAGCTGGTGTAATGTTTAGTTGTGGGAATAGGGGTGGAAGCACAGGAGTTTTGTAAGATTCACACAAAAATATTCATCTGACATCTACAAAATTTGTCAATTTGTCACCCATACAAATTTTCTTAAACCATACATATTTCCTAATAAAAAGAATAACAAAGGCATCATTCTATACACCATGATATAACTATACTTCCTACAAAGAAAATATCACAAAAATCTTTCCCAAGAATTACAGCTAAAACATTAGCTGATGTTTATGTTTTCCTTTTGATATCCCACAACTAAAATACTTGATGAACTTTAAAATTACTTAAAAACTATGACATAAAATCAATATATCTTATATTATGTGAAAAGGAAATGAAAGATGAAAGAAAACAAGATATTATATGCATGCATATATGAAATATGTAAATTTATGAACACAAAATATATATTCATAACAAAGTGTGAAGAATATTTTCATGATAATTGCAATTCTTTTTTTTATAACCAGTCGTGGTGATAACTAGTTGGAAATGTTTATTTTGAGCTCATAGTTTCAGAGATTCAGTGCCTGGTGATACGACTACACTCTCTGGGCCAGAAGTAAGTCAAAACATCATGGTAAAAGGACATGGCAGAGGGAAGCCGCTCAAATCATGGCAGTTTGTAGAAAGAGACAGAGGGAAGGGGCAGCAGGATGAGATAGAGTCCCCAGACAGAGTTACAGCTCTAGTAATCGAATAATTGGTCCTCTAAACATTCTTGCATTGCCTAATGTGGCCTTCTGGGAGACACCTCAGATCCAAACCACAACATGAGGTTATGTGCTCCATAAAATACTTAAAATATTGCTATGTTTTGGGGGAATGTTCAAAAATTTTAATCATGTTCCTACCAGCTAAATAATAATAGAAAAATATCATTTCATTGGTTTTTGTGTTCTTCATTGTAAATTTATTAATGTATTAAGGGCTAAAATAGTGTAATTCCTTCCTACATTACATAAGTAGGATAATGTTTCAGCTCACAGTTCTACCTTGTCTGGGGACTCATATGGTATTTGCTCCATTGTGTTGGCAGGTTTGTGTGTTGAGAAGATGATAATCACAGAAATATACTAGTCTGTGAGTTTCCTTATCTGCAATTTATTGAGAAAATTTGAATTTACCCCTTGTAGAACTTCAG